GATCCTTCCTGGACCAGCGGACGGAGCGAATGTAGAAGAAGAGCAGCTAGCCAGCCAACCAGCCAGCCACTCAGGTAGAGCCAGGAAACGAGCAACGACTAGTTCGATGACGGCATGGCAAAAACGACACACTGCAGTAGACGACGACGATGACGATGGCAGAGCGGCGACGAGGAGAAGAAACGACAGCGACTAGGAAACCAGTTATGCCTCTACAGCCGTCGTTGTTATTGCCATAGTCACTGTCATCGTCGTCGATGTGCTAGTATTCAAGCAGCTAGCGACGAACGGGGCGACTAAAACCCAGCATTATATATATGTATGTATAGTATGTATGTATATAGTATATATATACAGCCACCTGATATAAAAACAGTTAATGCTTTGGCAAAACGCTCATCGATGACCCGACACCATCTTCAACACAACGGCATGTTCTTGATTATGACAGAAGAAACAAGACATGATGACAACTATCTGGTTATCTTTGCGTCATTCGGTAACTAAATCTAAAGCCAGTCATCACCCACAAAGCAAAAACACTAAATAAACAGCTGGAAACTTGGATCGAGAACTGATAATCGGCTACGATGCAATTTAATGCAATCCATTTTCATGTTGTAATGTAATTGATCATAACTGGTCACTTTTCACAGGTTATTCGATGAAATGAATATTATATAAAGAATGCTGCTATATGCGCATAGAAAAGTCTTGAAGAATTTGTTGAATGAACTACAGATCAGCAACTTGCATGGAGGCCATCAACGAATTAGGCGTGGAAACGGTCGCCATCCAGCAAAACCAAGCACCGATGAACTTCCACTGTGGTGTACAAGATACCTGTTTGTTTTTCAGCTGTGTATTACATATCTTCGCTGAACGGTTATCGCGAGATACCACCTGCCACACACTTCATACAGAATTAGTAGCCTGCGACTCTCGAAGTTCTGCTACACAAGCAAAATTCACTTTCATAAAAAAAATGAATTCACACCATCACGAATTCTTTGCCTTAATCTGTCGTCCCTTGC